TTTTTTGTCTTTGAACAAATTTTGACACCATATTCTATTTTGTTGCGCTTTATTTTCCTTAAAACATTTTTTGACAAAATCTCTAAATTGTTTGTTTTATTTTTCTTAAAAAAAATTGATTGGCAAAATATATACATATATACTTTTTGTGCTTTATTTTCCTCGAAATAAAATTTATTTCTTTTTATTTTATTGCATTTTTATTTTTTATTCTTTTTTTATAAACCAAATTTGAATTATATTATTTACGATTTTTTCAGAATTAAATATATTTATAAAATATCATTTAATATACGATTGGATTATATGTGAGAAATAATAGACAAGAATTCCACACATCTCGGTAAAGAGATAAATTTTTAATAATTTTAAAATTTGAAAAAAAATTTTTTTTTTTGACAATTTTGGCGTTAATAAGAGAAATGCGTTCAGAATTTTGATACTATTCACATGATCCATTCACTCTTCTGGTGAGCAAGTATAGTGGAGTTTTCGCCATAACAAAACATTTTATAAGCGAAGACCACCGTTACTACAAAAATATCTTAGAAGCAATACGCAGCATAGCTATATAAATGCATATGTATATATATAACACTTAGTTGTCTTTTTATATCCATTACTGCCACAATGAGTTGACTGTAATCGACTGACCCATGGGATCTGCAAAGAGGGAAGTTCAGTTGAGGATCAATGGGAAGGGGATTTCATGGGGCACATACCTCCAGCATATTGTGGATACTCGCTCCGCTTATCGCAACCATCGTTCGGGGTACTGTGATAACTTCAGGCTTAGCATTACATAGAGCGCAATAGAGAATGCCATCTGGGGCATACTTACTACAGGCCGTTGCGGGCTCGCATCTCCCGAGCTCTTCGACTTTGGCGTTCTGTGCAGCGATAGGAAAAAGGGTTGTTTGTGACGTGCCGCTGATGGTAGTTCATGTTACACCCGTCCCCTTGTAGATGGTCTATATCCGATTTGACGCCGTTATCATAAAAATCGCTTTGGATCCCGCAATTGTTCATATTTGACATGGCAGTTTGATCAAAGCTTTTATTTACGGAATTCATCTAAAGGAAAATAATAGAAAAAAATAATTAAATGAAAAAAAATTCGGTATCCCAAATTTACCTCGGGATAAAAAAGCTGGGGAAACGGCATTTCAATACGATAACCACCAATTTGTGCATTCTCAAAGTAATCCATATTTTTTACAATTAACAAACTGAACCTGGATTATACAGTTAATAAATATCGCCTCTGCCAAAATATGGAAAATTTGTAGGTCTAATTTTAGATTGTAGTCAAAGGAAATGTTCTGAATGAATGAAATTCGTTWAAGCTTCAGCTCATGAGAAAACATTGACAGCGAAAAGCCAACTTGATTTGAAAATTTTTGCATTGTAGAGAAGGCATAGTAAATAAAAGTATATATAATGAAAATGTATTCATAAAGAGAGAGAGCTTAATTTTATTAGATTGGTGGACAACATTTAGCCAAGTGAATGCCAATCAATTACTATTGATATGAATGAGATATGACTTAACTGCAATTGATCGAAAAATTATGAAAAAAGAGAGATTTCAAAGAAATTGAAGGATTCTTTAATATCTTTTAGCTAGTCATTTATAGACTTAAATACCCACGTCCATATCTATATATACGCAATGTTTATCACATATATGAATAATCATATATTAGACATAACATAGACATCTAAGATGTATGAATGGATATATAATTGACGTTTGCTCATATGGAATTAATGCAGTAAATTGTATTTAATTCAAATTTTAGTCAATACAGTAGATATCTAGCCAGCTAATAGTCTTATATGACTACACTAGGTCCGCAATTGGTAGCTCTTCAAGAACTCAATTAACTGACTCTTGTAACTCTTCAATTTCTTATGCCTATAGGAAAACAAATTTGATAATTGACGAATGCATATACAGATACTTTATTGTTGCAATTTGATATAATTTAAGTGGATTTGAGTGTGGGAAGTGCTATTGCTACTCGGATGCAGTTTATTGTTTATCTCTATTGTGAATGACAGCAGTCGATTGATGTTTCTGCTTGGGTCCTTGGCCTTTTTCCAAAGTATTCCTTCATATCTTAACAGTTAATCTCCCCACAGCACACACAGTTCTATGGCATCTCTCAGCATCAACAGCATCCATTGCAACCGCAACAGCCGCAGGCTGGCTTACAGCAAGGCGGACTGCAGATATGGAATATAGAATGATTATAAAATATTTCAAGCAAGTTAGTATTTTCACACCCACTCATTTAAACCATTGCGTGCATGCCTCTCCCGCTCGCGCTGCTTTTCCCGCATGGCGTAGCGATAAGCCGCATTGCTAATGAAGAATCGCGGCGGCGCCGGCACCTTTCTGCATCCATAGCACATATTGCAAAAATTTCAATTTAGAATAGGAAAAAAGGCCGGAAAAAGGAAATTTTGAAAATTCAAGCTCTGCTTTCGTCAAACAGAACTCAAAGACTAAAGATAATGCTAAACATTTCGTCAGGATGAAATGTTGAGAAAACAAAGCCAACGAGATCTATAATTTAGAACTCGGATATTTTATAAACTGTCATTTTATACGCTGTCCTATACATAATACAAAGCAGAATCAAGAAAGATCATATTCTCATGATGCGCATTCCGATATTCCTGAAATACTTTCTCACACTGGCAAAGTCGTAATAAAAGAGAAAATGTTTTCTATTGACATCAGAGCATTTTATTTATTTATTATAAAAGCAAAAGTCAAAGGTAACAATTGAGTCAAATCCACACTAGGGACTAGTAATACGGATTGCCGCCCTGTCGGGGCTGGCCATACATCTGACCCTCGGGACCGCCTATGCCGGGAAGTGAGTTGTAGTAGTCGCCATTGCCACGACCCGAACGCTGATCCGTTGGCGAGCTAATGATATGGGATATATATATAGAAGTAAACCATGTTAAATCTTCAAAAATCTTTTGGTCAACTCACTAGAGTCCATTGCGGGAATTCATCTCTCTCAAGACCTTTGAATAACGGAGTGGGCTGCGGTAACCAGGACCGCCAAAGGAAGCGGAGCCGCCTTGACAGTTCCTGCCGTCGTCATAGGACTGCATACCGCCGCCATAACCCCCACGCGACTGCATATAATCTTGGCCCATTTCTGGAGCCTGTCCGTCAGGAGCTGACATTCCGTAGCCCTCCATCGACTGGTATGGGCCACCGCCGTTTCCTTGACCGTATTCCATATTTCAATTTGTTATTCTTATATTTTCTTTTTCTATTTTACTTTAAGTATTGTATTTATTATTTTTTATTTTTTTCCTCAAGTATATTTTTTCCGAAAAGTGAACTCAAATTTAGATTAAAACCTATCAATTTCTATATATTTTTTTTTTTTGGCTCTTTTCTGTCCGAAACCTGAAATTAAACTGAAATGTAAAGGCAGAGCGTAGAACCTACACAACTCGGATTCGACTTCATGGCTAGTTTGATTTGGAAATTTGTAGGGAAATATCAAGCAAGGTTTTCCTTGAGAAATCGAAATCGAATGGTAATTTTTTTATTAAAACCGAAGAAACTCATCGCGACTTTTAATAAATAATTGAAAAAAAAAAACTGTTTATGTTTACTCCTCTTGCTTGGTCTTATTCAATTCTGAATATATTTCTAGCAAATTAAAGGGATTTTTCTTAAAATCTTGCAATGGAAAATGCTTTTTGCACTCTTTTTAGGCATCTTTCAATGCTGAGTGCATTTCTAGAAAATGGGAAAGTCTTCAAATGATCTTTTAATCAATGCCCTTAGACATATCTAATGTATTTATGTATAACTCCATACTGAATCGATTTCTATTAAATGAGAGCTCTTTCAAATCATCTTATAATGGAATAATACGGTCCTAACTCTCTGCACATGCCAACTCTAAGACATATTTCAATTGAAAACGGAAAAATGGCTAGTGAACTCTACATTAACATCTTCCAATTATGAGTCCATTTGCTTGGCCATCTCTTAGCCCATTCGGATGTCTTATCGCCTTGGACGCAGAGCAAGCGCAAAGTTTTTGTCCAAAAAAAAAAAAAAAAAAATTGGCCATAATGGAAATCAAAATGTTGCCATCTAGCTCTGCAGTCGGCGAACAGCCTACAGCCCACAGCCTACACAGCCTGCCCCGCCCGCATTGGAGCCAATGAATATGCAGAAGGTGCAGCTAGTCGAATAATTAAAATCGAGCTGGTTGCTTGCTTGCTCGCTTGGAGGATTACGCTGGGGCTGCCTGGCAGATACGGCAAACACTTTACGGTCGACAATTAAGTGCGCCTCGTAATCTGTCTGTCGTAATTATGGGCTCCACGGCGTATTTATCTGCTGCAATTAGCGCCGTGCACGAGTCGCGTATATATATCACAGATCCAAAGATTGAATTGCCCAGACCAATTTGCATGCGCTCTGAATCACTGCCTGCTCCTTGCCAGCCCTAAGGACACACCGCTACCAATACCAATACCAATCCTGCACTAGGAGTAGAAGTAGAAGCCGAAGCAGAAGCAGCGACTGCTCAAGTTTATGCCCTTAATTAAATTTCACTCAAGACAACAACAACAAGTGCAATTGTAAAAGGCAATCGTAGGTTACTGATCAGTCATAGGACTGAACTATATAGGATTGGAGTATTAAAGATTTAAGGTATGCTCAGATTGCCTTTAGCTGGCTTTAAGTTGCGCCTGCGCACATATGCTGAGGATTGAATGACTGATTGCCTGATTGACTGACTGATTGAATATTTATGTGATTGACTGATTGAAGTAATGAACTAAATTGACTTCATGACGGAGATTGACCTTCTGATTAGCGGAATATCTTACTACATTAACAGAATTATGTTAATTAACAGCACTATGCTGCTGTTAACTTCCTTTAAAATAATTCTATATTTTATAAATAGGAATTCTGTTGATAAATTGAATTTACTATTAAAATTATAAACTCATCTTATTGGAATTATATGAATATAAGTTATATAAAGTGCATATTCATATACATAAATATAATCTGAATACCCATTCAAGAATATTTAAACTATGCCCAACTACTTCATATATTGAAATGCCTCAACTCGATTATTATAAAATTTCCCTCTTTGGTCTTTATTAAAACTAAAATTTCTCTACAATTGGTAGCTTAATTAATTAAATGTGACATTTCGTTGGATTCAACTCCATGGCTTTATCTGCCCAGAGCGAAGGGTTCGCCAGACGAGGTCTTCACGTAGAAGATTCCCCTCTTGGGCACAGAGGGCTCGCCGCCCATGCGCTGGGTTTGCCGCTGGCGCTGGTCACACTGCCATTTGCGACCCTCGCGCTTGCAGGGCGTGCCCCAGAAGCCGCTGGGCGAGTTGATGGACTCGGCGAACATCTGGTAGGCGCGTATGTGGGAGCAGCCCAGATAGAAGCAATTGCGCTGATAGAGTCCATAGTTCGGATAGAAGGTGGCGCTGCCCGTGGGCTTGAGGAAGCCAAAGTTGCCGCTGGTGTGTATGGACTCCACATACTTGGCATCGCTAGCATCGATGCGGAACTGGGCACTGCGATGACGGAACTTGGGTCCGGCCGGGTCCAGGGCGAAGATCGTGTTGTACTGCTCCGGCTTGAGGTATTTGCCCGCTGCGCCGGCTATCTGTGCACCCAGAGAGTGACCGATCAGGTAGATGTCGTCGTAGCGTGCATGAAGCTGGCGATGCAGCTCGCGCGTGAACTGGACCAGCTGGGCGCCCATCTCCTCGATTAGCTTCACCACCGAGAAGTAGTTGATGTTGGCCGAGCTGGCGCTCCAATCCGTCACAATCACATTATAGTCGCCGTGCTTCAGGTAGGCATTCTTCACGTCCCGATTGAAGGAGCCGCGCGACTGGCTCATCCAGCCGTGCACGATGAGCCGTGTGGGCAGCGAGCTATTGAAGCCGGCGTGCCGCCACTTCCGCTCATTGCCGAAGTCCAGCTCGCGCCCGCACTCGGGAAACTCGCGCTTGAACAAGTAGAACTGCATGCGATGCCGAGGCGTGCCGAAGGGATTCAGATTGACGGCGATTTTCTTGAGGAACGACAAGTCCAGGAAGCTGCCAATGCCACGTGGCTCGCTCAGGTCGTTGTCGCACTTATTCCACACACAATGCTCGGCGCCCTCATACTCGTCCGCCTCCAATGTGGTCAGCAAGTCATCGGGCTCTTCCACGTCAAAGTTGCCCCGGCTCTCAAAGTCCACCTCGTCTGGGTCGGACAACAAGCCCATAAACTCGTCCATCTCAGCCTCATAGTTTCCAGCGATATTGTTATTGCTCTGAGCTGAACCACACAAGAGATCAAGATTAACGACTGCTGTCCAGGCTCTAAGGCAATCTTCACTTACCACAGGCTGTAGTTAGCAGCAGCAGCGAGACGGCAAATGATGTCAAGCTCATGTTGAATCAATCAGCTCTAGGTTGTATCCACTGCACTGGAGTAGCGACTATTAAACTCTGTTGCCTACGATCTGTTCAGACGCTTCTTATATATCTTTATATAGGCGACTGACACCAGTAATAAGTTGTTCTAACTCAATCTCAGCTATTTGCCATTTTCCCCGCCTGCACAACCTGCAACTGATTAGCTACGTTCGATCGGATTGGCATTGCCCATGGCGCGCGTTCCCCACTAGCAACTCTACCGGTTCTATATATGTATAATATATGTATATATAATTGCATTTGTTGTGAGAGACTCTTATGACTGCTTTGAACTATTGCGAGTCACATAGCATTGATGACGTATGGGAATTTCTTTAATTGATTTAGGGCGTTTTACTACTATAGTTTTATCTCCCATGCATAATGCATATTGTAGTAATGTATAATACATAGAGAGCTAAATGGCATAGGTGTATAGTGTATATCAGGTATAATTGAGACTTAGTTCAACAGCAATGAAATGCCATTTAGTCTGGCTCAACAGATGCTTTGAGTGACGCGTGCCTTTGTTACAGTCTTTGAATGAAATTATTTTTTTCCCGAGTTCGTGTAAGTTCCAGATTCATCATTATTATATCGTCATAGTTAGCTAATCTTTAATTTTTATATAATTTACTTAACAGATTTATATTTGTTTTTTTTTTTTTTCCAACTTTTAATAAAAATATTTATTTCTTATATAAATATATTTTTCTAATACACTTTTAATGTTAATCATATGTAACAAATCAATCTATTGAAGTACCCATACAAAATGTGTTAATTCTAGCCCAATATAATATTTAAATTTGAACTTTAGAGCCTATTAAAATAAGTATTAATATTTATTATTTGTACTAGATATTTAACCTAAAATAATTTTCGTATTAACTATGTCAGCAAAATGTAACGTATTTGCACCATGCGTTATGTATCCATCAGCTTTAGATCAATAGCAATTATTTGTTTGCCAAATGGCAGCACTTACTCTAGGTGGCATCACAACATATCGATATATTATCGATAGATTTAGCTCTGCTTTGCCTGTTATTAATAACAAAGATCAAGTCGCTTGCCGTGAAGAAAGCCGCACTTGCGGCTAAAACTAATCAATACAATGAATATAGACGACGTAATATATGTGTTATGCCTGCTGGCCTGCATAGGCGCTGGTAGTTTTGTGCGAAAACTTCGCGATGAAACACAACGCAAATACGTATGCTCTATTCTTGGCCTCATTGTTGTTATTGTCGTCTCAGGCTTCCATAGTCTGCACTGCGCCATTTCCGTCGCCCTGGGCACAGCCAGTGTGCTCTTGGTGCACCCCAGGTAAGTGTAGTGTATTGATTTCAGATATTCATAAATTAATATGTAATTCCATAATTCCAATTCCAGCAACTGCCATGTAGTTACTTTTGTTGTTATGTTTGGCTATTTAGTGTTCTTCCGGCTCGTTTACCTCTTTGGGCTGCCTACTGTGCCTGGGCCAACAAATATGATACAAATGTTGCTCACCCTCAAGGTTAGTTGCATAACAATCTTTTATTTAGAAACGAGTAGCTATTAACCTACTATCTTAGGTATCTGGCATTGCATTCGAGAAAACTGCAGCCTGGAAGCGCATTCGAGCTAGCGATGAGCGGCAGAACAATGAGCAGCAGGATGCCAACAGCGATCCCAGCCTTAATGTCACCAGCTATGATCTCAGCTTGCAGCAGCTGACTGCAACGGAGATTGTGCTGTATAGCTTCAATTACGTTGGTGTGCTGACAGGTCAGTGTATAGTGCTCCCAAATAATATATGCACTGCAATAGTGACTGGAATATTGTCAGTTTATTGTCAAGCAATCAACTGAGTGTAGTTGCACATAAATTAGTTGGTTTATATGGATGCAAATCGTGTGTCCTTAACTCGGTGACCCGTACGATTGAGCGACTTTCAATCGTTGTGTCAAAGTCCATTTACCCAGGTGTTTAAATTTTTACAGATAGTAAAAATTTTACGGGTGATTATCACTAGATGCTAATAATCATCGTATGTGTGCCTTAAAACCTTATCGGAATGAAAAGTCAGCTTGTTTTTTATCTATAAAAAAAAGAAAATTGTAAAAGCTGAAAAAGTCTACTTCAACAACTTTTAAAGTACTTTTTGCAGTTGGTAACAATGTGTAACTGTAAAATTTTTTGCATTTATAGATATAGCTTACAAAAAGCTAATTGATACATAACAAAAGTGCTCTCTCATGCTCTCGCATGCAAAATATAATTTTTTAAAATTAAAAATTAATAGTAATATGTGAAATATTATCAACACTAAGTATTTTTAAAGCACAATATCAATAACAATAACATTTTGCTATTTTCAGGTCCCTATTATCGCTATCGCACATATCGAGATTACTTTGAGACGCCGTTCAAAGATCATGCGCCTTGCGTGCCCGCCACCATTCAGCAGCTCAAGGCAGCTGTCTTCTATTGCAGTCTTTATCTGTTGGCCAACTACCTTTGGCCACTAGAAGTGAGTAACAACAGACAGGGAAACCTTATAATAAAAAACAGAAAAATTAATAATTCTATAAAACTTAGTATGCGATGAGCGATGAGTTCTACAATGATCGATCCGTTATCTACCGTGTGTTGTACGTGTGGCCCACGTTCTTTATCTTCCGCGCCCGCATCTATACTGGCCTGACGTTGAGCGAGTGCGTCTGTACGATGGCCGGATTCGGTGCGTATCCCGATGATGCGGATACCAACAATGGCGAGGGACCACGAAAGCCGTACCAGAATATGATTAAGGATGCCGAAAAGCATAGCTACAATTTCACAACAATTGTCAACACACGAGTGCTGGATGTGGAGCGGTGCTGGACCTTCCGCGAGGGCATGAAGCATTGGAATGTCTGCGTGCAATATTGGCTGGCGGTGAATGTGTATAAACTGTTTCCCATCAAGAAATATAGGTGAGTATGTCCTGGATGCACAGAGATAACTGTAATACTAACTATTGTTGGCAATTTCAGAACGGGTGCCATTTTCCTCTGTTCAGCGTATTGGCATGGCTTCCGGCCGGGACACTATTTCTGCATCATGGGCGCACCTTTCTATGTGATAATGGAGGATACGTGGCACAAGCTGGTGCGCAAAGACGCTGTTGGTATGCGTCGGACCGTCATTGATGTTATCTTTTGGATCTGCAAGTGGTTTGGCTTCAGCTATCTGGGCACAGCCTTTTTGCTATCCTCCTTCGACAACATTTGGCGTTTCTATAGTTCCGTCTATCACATTGGCTACATTACCTGGGCCCTTCTGGTTGCCGTGGGTGTGTACCTCACCAAGCTAAAGAAGTCCGCGGAGCGCAAAGCGAAACGTGCTGCCGATTCCATTGCAGCAGCTGGAGAGCCCGACGCAGTCAAGCAGAAGGCACAGTAAGAGATTTCCATAGCTAAGCAGCCGAACACATTTATTTCAAAGTTAAATACTGCAACTATTCGTGTTCCACTTTCTATATATATTTATAGATTTGTAGACATATATGATTTTCTTATATATCAGTACAACGGAATTTTTTTTAAATAAGCGAACAATATCGATGATTAGGACAACAAGCTAAGTCTTGGCAAACTATTTAAGATAGGCTTTCAAAATTATATATATAAAATAATTTTGTTAAACATGTGCAACAAAAAGTTCATTATACATTGTTAAAAAAAAAAAAAAAAAAAAAAAAAAAAAAAAAAAAACTTAAAGCATGAACAAAAGATAAAATACTTACAAACTGTAAATACTAAAAAAACGAAATTCGT